TTGCTTCCGTGCAGGTAAATGGCACCTAGGACACAGCGGCCTTTATCATCCCAACTTCCGTGGTAAGACTGTGTTGTAAAACCCAAGACATGTTTTTGTTTCCCACCAATATCCCCTCTAATCTTTCAAATCCATGTGAAGCTTTTTTCCCACCCATGTGCGGAATAATTTTTACTTGTGTGACTGTGCCCTGCCAATAAAAATACAAAACCTAGCGGTGGACGCTCTGCTAATCAGCTGAGCAGCATCTGACTCTCTCCTGAGTGGCCGCACAAGTGCACAGCTTACTGTAAACACTGTTTCCCACTGTCCCTTCCTCTTTTTAAGCCCATTCTCCTTCTTCCTGGGTAACTGCCGTCAGAAAGGGAGGAGGGAGCCAGGAACTGGCTCCTCTGCATTCGTCTGCAGCGATACTGTGCTACCCTTTCCGCTCATGCTCATGTGCAGAGCCGGAAGAGTTCTGCCGCACGGCAGGGAAGGGGCAGGCGGTGCAGGAGACTGCCCACCTCCACAGCAACAGAAGGGATTTGCCGGGTGGCCAGGGACTTGACTTCCCTGCAGAAAGAGAGGCTCTAGCTCCTGAGTGGGGATGCCAGTTCCCAAGCTCCCATGGGTCGGCAGAGAGGGGGTGCAGTCGGCGAGGTGTGGGTTCCTTTGGGTAGCCATGGTGGAGTAGGGGATATTTCCGCTCTAGACCTCTCTGTGTCTAAGCTCACACCAACGGCTGCTTTCAGTGGGGTGGGTGGAGTTATTTCTGGGTGGAGTTGACCCAAAAAGTCCATCTTCCCTTGGCAGAAAGTCCAGCGTTGCTGTCAATTCATCCTTAGAATAAAGCCCCTTTTCTTGTGCTATTTACTCGCTCCAGTCTCCCATAAACTCCATATTAGAGCCTTTTAAAAAGAGGATTTTGCTGGGAAAAAACCCCCACAGGAAAGTGCAAATGATGAAGTCTCAACGAAGCCTCATCCTGTTATAACATGAGCTAAATCTAGGGTTGCCAGGTGTCTGGTATTGGCCCAGTCAGTCCGGTATTTGTGTCCTCTGTTTGGTAAAAAACCCAGAAAATACTGGATATGTAAAATGTCCGGTATTTTCTGTTTTTCTTGGACAGAACTCCATGCAGCCCCATGGGCGCGAGCCTTCGCCTGTGTGGTTCTTCTTACAGGACCAGGGTCTAAGCAGCTCTTTTGCCCAGAAGTGACTTTGTTCCCTTCCTTGAGCTTGGAAACTGGGCAGCAACAACTATGTAAACAGTATATAAAAGGCAAACATCCCCAGCAGGCAGCTGCAGACACATTAACACGCTCTTTTGGATGCAGGTTTCGACTATTACTTTGGTATTCCCTACAGTCACGACATGGGTTGCACTGACACTCCAGGCTACAACCTCCCTCCCTGTCCGGCATGCCCTCGACACTCTGCAGCTGCAAGGTACAGCTTCTTTGGTGGGGTGAACTCCGGCCTGGGTTCTGACGGGAGCCGGCGTGACCCAAGGCCTCTCTCTTGTGAAATGTCAGAGCTGAATGGAAAATGCTTCCCAGTGGATCCTGGGAATGAGACATTGGCAGGGGCTGTAAAGATGAAGGGTTTGGGGTGGATGTTCACTGCCCTCTCCTTTCCCCTTGCAGAGGGACCCTTCCCTCTCACCCTGCAGCGTGTTTTAAACACAGCAGGTTTGGGGGGGTCTTTGAACCCTCTGCCCTCTCCTCCCCTGGCATTGTGGCAAACCTTCCTCAGGCCAATGAAACCTGGAGGAGCCTGTCAATGCACCTTCATGCACCAACCAGAAGAGGTAACCAGCGAGCACGGCCGCCTTGGCCAGCTCCTGCCAAAGTCAGTGGCTGAGCGGGATCCAAGGGAGAGAAGTGGTTAAGACACTTGTCTGGGGACATGGGAGATCTGGGCTCAGTCCCTGGCTCTGCCGCAGCCCCCTCCCATGTGATCTTGGGTAAGTCTGTCTATGCCTCCGTTCCCATCTGTTGAGACTGTCAGCTCCCCAGGAACTACCCCTCCCTGAGAGTCTGTACAGACCAGCGGCCCTGGAGCCTCCAGGCGGCCCTGTGGTAACAAAAACATGTTTGCTTTCCCAGAGTGGGAGGGGATATTGAGGGCCCGAGTTCAGGTCCCCTGTCTCACAAGTAGAGCCAAAACCCCGGAGAGTTGAGTCTTGAGGTTCTGGCACATCGAATACGAGGGAAATACCTGAGACTGAGCCACATTGCGAACGGACCCCTCTGGCATCAGGGCACCAGCAGGCCTGCTCTTTCTGTTCAGAAAGCCTCCGTCATTACTCATGGGGCTTGTTGGTTTCTCTCCAGCAGCCCGGGGAGAGATTGTTACACCAAGGTGGCTCTTCCTCTCTTTGAAAACGGCACCATTGTCCAACAGCCCGTGAACCTGACTGGTCTGGCTGCGGAGTATGCAGAAAAAGCAACTCAGTTCATCCAGCGCGCAAGGTAAGCAGCCCCCTGAGATAGCTCTGTCTCCGCGGAGACGAACCCAACGTTGGTGGAGTCCTGCTACTTGAACCAACTACTCCATTAACTCAAGTGGCTGAGTTCTGTAGGGTGGGTCGAAACATCCCAACCCTGCTGCTGGCCTGCAGAGCAGTAAGCAAGAGCTCACGCGATGGAATTCCTGTTTATTCCCTGTTTTTAACCCCCTAGGAAATTGACCACGAAAAATAACATTACAGCTACGTCTACACTGGCAGCTTCTTGCACAAGAACTGTTTTGTGGAAGAGTTCTTGCACAAAAAGTCTTCCAGAAGAGCGTGTCTACACGTCGATGGCAGTGTGGACGCTCTCTTGCGCAAGAAAGCTCTGATGGCCATTTTAGCCATGGAGGTTTCTTGCGCAAGAAATTCATGTTGCCTGTCTACACTGCCCTCTTGCTCAACAGGGCTTATTCCTCGTGGGGAGAGAATAACTCTTCGGGAAGAAGACCTGTTTTCCGATGCTAGACTGTAAATTTACTTGTGCAAGCATACGCATGCCGTGTAGACGCCCTGCAAGTTTTTGCACAAGAACAGCTGTTGTGGCTCAAGAAGCCGCCAGTGTAGACGTAGCCTAAAAGAAGGTGATGGTTGCAAAGTCCAGCACTCAGAAGTTAGGCTATGACAGAAATAGGATTGTCTGTGCAACCGTAATCTGATCCCCTTGTGTGTATGCATTGTGATACCGCAGTGGTGAGTAACCCGCGGCCGAAGGGTTGCCTGAAGCCCATTGAGGTTCTGGCCCATGAGACATTTGGTTTACTGTTACCCACGTGCAGGGTTGCCAGATTCTGTTGGTTTCCATCCATGTAGGTTTTTTTCTTACCGATAGTACTAAATCGACACGCCTGAAAAGCAAAGGCATGTGAAGTGAGGTGCGTGCGGATGGCACACAACACTATGAGAACCTTGGGTTCCCTCTGCACCCAATCACAACGCTACGGTTCAGTCAGTACATCCTGCAAATTCTAGGAACGCAGCACAGTGAGCAAAACTACTTTATCGTGGGAGCCCATCTTGGTTACAACAATCTTGCGGCTCACCGAGATGGAGGAGGGCCCCCGCTCATTAGCGTAGATTGCCCATTGCTGTGATAAATCTTCCAAAACATGAGTGCCTACTAATTTTTTCCACAGGACCCCTGCCTCATTTAGTGCTCTCGGAGTGAACCCCTGTAGAGCAATGAATTAGACTGTCCTAGGTCATTTGTTACAGAAGTTGAAAGGTGTGTAGCAAATGAGGCATATTATAGGAAAGGGGGGAAAAACATTTCATGATTAATGCTGTTGAATGCTGGCCTGGGAGATTGGCTTGTATCCCTACTTCTGCTACAGATTTCCTACGTGACGCCGGGCAAGCTGCTTTCATCAGACTTTTCATTAGGTGGTCACCAACCATGTGTTCCTCATTTTATGTGTGGCTGACCTGAGAGCCTATGAAAATAAATTGTGCAATGCCTCTGAAGCACTCACATCCTGTGGTACTGAGCACTCTAGAAAAGCCCATGAGGAAATTAATACTGTTGTCTTTAGAGCGGAGTTTGAGCAGTGTTCAGCAAATGAGCCATATGGCCTTCCCGGAGCCATGAGGATAAAATAAAATAGAGAATAACTGCTCATTCGAGGAGCACTGTCCATCCTGTACATTGACTAAGGATGGGGTCCGGCAGTTTTGTCGACGGCGGTAAACCTCATTCTACGAGGAATAATCGCCTTTTGTCGACAGAGTTCTGTAGACAAAAGGCGCTGTTGCATCCACCCCGTGCTTTTTCAAAAGAGAGCGTCTAGACTCTCTATCGACAAAGCGGCTTGCTTTGTTGACAGAACTGGCAGTAGTCTAGATGCTCTTTGTCGACAGTATCTGTCGACAAAGCCTCTGTTGACTAAAGCTTGTGGTCTAGTACCCTCTGAGAGCAGAATTTGGCGTAGCCCTGGGTAACTGAGTTTGCATGTGTGTTGCTGATGCTGGAATAGTGAATAATACCGTTCCATTGCCCCAGCATTAATAGGAGCACAGCACGGAGAGTCTTAGGTTGGCTTGCCAGGTCTCCTCACCAGATGGACCAGACACCATGTACTGCAATGCCGTCTGCTCTAGGAGTGTTGGCAACCCAAGTCTTAGGCCCAGATCCTCAGAGGCATTTAGGATCCTTCCTCTTATTGCAATATGGGAATTAGCTACCTGTGTACCTTTGTGACGCTGAAGCGTATCCTCAGAGTTTGTGGCCCCTCCCTCTGAAATATGTACAGGGAGTGAGTCTGGGGAGTCGAAAATTTCAGTGGAATCACTTTTCAGAGCGCTCTTCAGCAGGGAAAAAGGCTGCTAGCCATGAAAGGATGTTCTGCAGGGCTCATAGGAAGAGTTTTGCCCTCTTCAGTGCATCTCTTGTGTGTGCTGGTAGCAGTGTTCCCTCTAAGCAACACAGCTTCACAGGTGATTAATCAGCCCTGCCCAGTCAGAGGCTCAGGGCTCCGGAGCTGACTGGGGTGGGGGACTGATTAATCACCTGTGCTGCCGTGCAGTTTAGCAGGAACACTGGCTGGCAGGTCAGACGTTTTAGAAAGCTCCAGGCTTTTAATTTGTATTTCGGTAAGAGACATGGAGGGCCAGGCTGCATTTTGACAGCAAGAAGGGGCTTAGCCAGCCCTTCCAGGATGGGGAAGCTGAACATGAGTTGGAGCAGCGCTGAGACTGCTCTAGCTATACCAGAGGTCGGACAGGGCTCTGCATGGCCCCAAATACTGGCTGTGTAAAGGTAGCTTAAAACTATGTTTTGTGGTAGCCCACTCCATCCTTGCGAGTAACAGAATCAGGCCCAGAGGTTTCTGAGGACAAAAGGGGGCTTTCTGAGCTGTGGAAACGCGCTTGAGAAGAAACCAGACTCAGAAACAGCATCCTGCTTCTTGACTCTGGCCTAGAAAAGCTGAACTGAGCAATTCTCAGCACAACAAGGCCTGTCACAGGGGAGAAGGATACGCTGGCCAACTCGGAAATGCTCAGGAGCTGTTAAGAGTGCAAGAGCAAAGCCCAGTTTGTCAGGAGTTAAATGCTCTTTTCTTGGGAGTTGCACTTTAGATCCACCCATTCACTGCGCTTTTGAAATCACTTGTTTGCTGTCAAGCTGACAGCTCTTGAGAAAAGAACTTTTTTTCTTTTCCCCTTTAGGTGGGACAGCTTCCTGGGATAGGCGAAGGTTGATGATGTAGATGGAAAAGGATTGTGTAAAAATCACTGTATGCAGGGACAGATTTTTTTTTTTTTTTTTTTTGCAACCTATTGTCTAGCCCGCCAAGATCAGTGGCTGGAAAGGCATCTTGTGTGTGTTTTGCAAGCTAGTAGGCCACTCAACTGAAACGGGATTTGGAGGCTTGCGCCCTTTGAGTCTTTCTGGTAAATGATCTAGGAACGGTGTTAGAGAGTGCGCTGACCTTGAAAGTGTTTACGCTGGTCTTTTAAATCATTCTTCGCCTGGGGAGCTCGCAGAATCATAGATCTAGGAAACCACATCCTTCTGAATAGCATCTTCTCCTCCCTTATGCTCCTTGTTGCAGCTCTTAGTTCACAGCCTACGTGCTCCCCCCCAGATGCTGCCAGATAAAATAGGAGTGTCCAGGAACACTGTTCTGCCCAGAGATAAGTGTAAAACTGGCCTATCTTCCCAGGCTTTCCCATGACTGCATTCTCCTTCCCATTGGCTCTGTGAGTGACTCTGGGCAGCACCTGAATCTCTCTTGGGTTGTTGCCCATGTATGCAGCTCACAGGCAACATGGTCCATTGTCCTTGTACAAACTGACATGGCTGGTGTCCTGTTGACGTGCACCAAGAAGAGTCTGTCAATTCAGTGCTAGGCCTGCCTCGTTTGTCAGTGTCGAAGTCTGAGCCTGAACTCTGACCAGCCTCAGATTGTGTTATCTAAGCCAGGGAGTGGTATTGACATGCTTAAAATGTGTTTTTTTCTAGTGCAGTTCCTGCCCTGTGTTACCTCTGTGCTAATCTGTTTTTTATCTATCCCTTTGGTACCCAACCCTCTTTAAAGTTATGGTGTGAGAGCAACTAGAATCTGCTATAGTACTGAGGTTACTTTATACCTACACCCATTCTAAGAGCACAAAAACCCCAAATTGGATCTTGCTTGTGCCTATTGAGTCAACAGCATGATGTACTTGGGCTACGTCTAGACTGCAGAGTTAAATGGGAAAAAGAAACACAATTTGTGGTATGCAAATTGCATGACTTTTTCCAATTTACTTTCCAAAGAGCCTTTTTTGAAATTTGGCACATCTGTATGGCGCCAAATTTTGGAAAAAAGTGCTCTTTTGACACATCCCTTATGCCTCATGGAACGAGGTTTACAGGGGTGGTGAAAGAGCATGTCTGATTTTTTGAAAAATATTTCGGAAAAGCGGACACGCTCCTTGGATGCAGTATTGGGCAGTCTAGACGTAGCCTTGCAGAAAAAGCAAACATCATTCTGGGATGCATTAACAGGAGTATTATGAGCAAGACACGAGAAGTCATTCTTCCGCTCTACTGTGCACTGATTAGGCTTCCCCTGTAGTACTGTGTCCAGTTCTGGGCACCATGTTTTAAGGAAAGATGTGGAGAAATGGGAGAAGGTCCAGAGAAGAGCAACAAGAATGATTAAAGGTCTAAAGAATTGGGCTTGTTTAGTTTGGAAAAGAGAAGACTGAGAAGAGGATATAATAGCAGCTTTCAAGTACAGGCAGTCCCCGGGTTACATGGATCCGACTTACATCGGATCCCTACTTACAAACGGGGAGAGGCAACCCCGCACTAGCTGTTTCCCCCCAGCAGACCAGGGAGACACAAAGCTAGCGCCCCCCCCTGGGTGAGGCAACCCCGCACTAGCTGCTTCCCCCCAGCAGACCAGGGAGATGCGAAGCTAGCGCCCCCCCACCCCAGCAGACCAGGGAGAGGTGGAGCGGCTTTTCTCAGCAGAC